TTTTTTACAAAGTTCAGCAGTTCTATAGTCCTCATCCTGACATCATTCTCAGTTTGTCCAGCTATTAATAAATCATCTACATATTGTAAAAGCTTTATTTTTGAGGATGGCTTGAATGTCTGCAGTAACTTTTTTTTTTTTTAATGCCTGCCCCAAAAGTTTAGGCGATTCTGTAAACCCTTGGGGAAGCACTGTCTATCTGAGTTGTTGTTTTCTATTATTAGATGGATCTTCCCTTTCAAATGCAAAATAGTCTCTGTTCCCCTTGTCCGGGGGGGTAGGATCAAAATGCATCCTTTAAGTCAGTTACACTGTACCAAATATAGTTAGGGGTAGTTGGTTAAGCAGCATATAGGGGTTTGCTACCACAGGGAAACGAGCCACAGTTTGCTGATTTACAGCCCTTAAATCTTACACCGATCTGTAAGATCTGTCTGATTTTAAAACCGGTAAAATTGATGTATTATATTGAGATATACAAGGTTCCAATGTACCTTTACTTAATAATTCATCTATAATTGGTTTCAGCCCCTCTTGACCCTTTAGGGGAGTGGGGTATTGTTTTATCTGAATTGGTGTCTCCGGATCAATGATATCAATTTTAATAGGCTTTATTTTAAGCTTTCCAATCTCTCCTTTTGTTTATAAGACTTTAGGATTTATCTGTTGCTCGTCTTTCTCCGTTAATGTATAACTTTTAAAAATTTTTCTTGTACTATTATTTTTTTAATTTCTGCTTCTGGTAGCAATAATAAATCCCCTCAGAATATTTTTTTACAGTTGATTTTTTTTACCTGTACCCCTATTTGCTAAAAATCCAAACTTTTCTCTCTGGGGCTTCATTTTATTTTTATCAAGCACTCCTTTGACGTCTTTGTCCCCAGAAAATAGAGCTCCCGACTCCTTTAAACATCCTTTTATCCTGCTCCTGTTTTCTACAGTTCTGCTCTAAATGTCTCTTCTTTCCACAATAATAGCATGCTAATTCGTTTCCCCTAATTACTGCCCCTTTCTTTTCACCATCCAAAGCTGCAGGTAAATCCATTAGAATGAGATCTCAGAGGTTTCTCTGACTGCTGCAAATATTTTCGCCTTTGCTTTCTGCTTTTACACTTTCTGTGTTTCTTTTAATAGCTCCTGCAGACTCCGGTCTTGCCAATTGTATACTTTTTCTAACTTTTTCCTGATGGCACCTCACGAATTGGCTACGAATTGAGTGGGTTTGTTGGTGTTGTGTGTTTGTTTTTTTGTTTGGTTTTGGGGTTTTGTTTTGTTGGGTTTTTTTTGGTTTTTTTTTTTTTTTTTAATAAAGCCTCTCCCACGGGGCGTGTCGGGTCTACCCCCGAATACATTTGTAAATTCTCTCTTAATCTTTCCAGCCAATCAGTGAGTGGTTCATCTCTCCCTTGATGTTTGCTAAAGACTATATTAATGTTTTTCCCCCGAGGAACTGCTTTTCTAATGCCGGCCACTGTTAAAATTTCTAAGGTCCCTCATATTCTGTCGGCCCTGCTCTTGATGACCCTAATTAGGGCGGACACTGGGCCATTTCTGATCTGCCAGCGGCCCTGCTTGATTTTGCAGTTCCCACAAACACATTCCGGCTTGTCTAATCATTTGCCTTTCCCTGGTCATAAATAAGATGCTTAAAATGGACTGTACTTCTTCCCGGGTGTATTGGGACCTAAAAATTGATCTAATCTCTCAGCTACTCTGAGAGGATCATCTAATAGAGTCCCCATTTTTTTTTTTTTTTTTTAAATTTCGTACATCGGAGGTGTTTAACGGGACTGCCACGAATCCGATGCTTCCTTGATTGCCTCCCAGGGGTACCTCCCGTAAGGGATATAAAGAAGCTCCCTCAGTTACGGCAGTTTTACTTCTTGTACATGCAGCCGGAGGTGGAAGGGGAACCGCTGGGGTTGTTAAAGCCGCCAGAGCAGTTAAGGCCGCCGGGGCCGTCGAAACTGCCGGGGCCGGATAATTAAAGTATGGAGGCGGCCAGTTATCTAGTGGTTCCCATTCATCATCTTTCTCTATCCTTTCCTTGTTCTTATCCCCTTTTTCTTCAGATTTTTCATCCTTTTTTAGTGTAAGTATTGAAGCTAGATAAGGACATGAAGTCCTGATCCATGATTTTGCATAATTGCTTTCTTCTCGACTAAAAGGTTTTCTTGAGTAAACATATGTACTGAAAGCCAGGCAAATCCAGTCTTCAAAAGATCCAGAAGTAGGCCAGAAGACAGGTGGGTTTAAGGTTTCTTCGGCCATTCAACCATACAATATTGGACTAATTTTAATTTACTTTTTCCTTTTCTAGGACCACTTTCATACCAATTTCTAATCATTATGCCTAATGGACTATCTGGTGGTATATCCAGTAATTTACCTTTTTTTTTTTTTCTTCTGGTCTCGGGTTTTTGATTTCTTTTGACCCATCTAGGGGTTTTACTGTGGCAACTCCTACAGCCCCTGTAGGGGGTTGGATCCAGGGAGTTGGGCCTCTTACCCATCCATGTATCTTTTGGGAATTTTCTACAGCAATTCCTCTCGCCTTGGGAGTTTTCTATGGCAATTCCTCTCGCCCTTAGTTACCGTGAGAGTGTCTTGTGGGGGGCTGAACCCTTTACCCACCCACGTACCCCTAGAACCTGTGCTCCCACCCACGAGTCCTATAGGATCTGCTTTGGTCTTTCACCAGCCAAATCACTTGCAGGAGTTTGGAACCGCGGTTAGAAGACATCCACACTCGATTCGGAACTCAAATCCTGGCTCCAAAACTACTTTCGTTTCCAGAATGAGGTTCCGTCTCAATCACGCTCTCACACACAAGCAACCGAATCCCACCCAACCGAACGGTATGCCTTATACTCACGACTCCGTCGTCTGCGTTCGGATCTTCGTGCGCCAGAATTACGGGTATTTAATACTGTAGTCTTTCCTTTGGAGCTCCAATTCCTTTGACTATTGCTTCTCTTTTGTCCGTTGATCTCTGGAGACTGAGACTGCTACTTTCGAGCCACAATCTGTGGGGCGCCCCTCAAGAAGCCACAGTCCAGGAAAGCACACTGAGGTTGGGGTCACCAAATTGTTATAATCAGACAAAGCCAATTTTTATAAAAATATATATTTTTATTTGGGTTCAATTTAGGGTGGGAAGCAATAGGCAAAGCAGCGCTGGGTGCATGGAGAGCTGCACGCACTCCGAGTTCCAAAAATCAGCGTTTTTTATACTCTTGTGCCATTGTCTTTAACTAATCTCTTCTCATCAGATAATTGTCCTGCTTTTTCTCCATTGGGTCTTTTTGAGATGCTTGGGTCTTTGTCCTCCTCCTGTGGAGTCTTTTGGAAGTCTTGAAGCCTTGGTCTCTTGGTGCGCTTTTCTCCTATTGGATCTTTTAAAAGCCTCATGATTCCATTTTTTGGTGGGCTTTTCTTCAAGTAGCAGTTACAGGTTATCTCTAGGTGGGTGGGGGGGTCCGAGAAGATGTTACATATTAGCTCTAGGTGATGGGGTTTCCGAGAAGCGGTTTACCTATCAGCTCTAGGTGATGGGGTTTCCGAGAAGTAGTTACGTTTTTCCAGCCGAATGGCATACTTTATATTTTATCTATATATATTCAAACATTCATTGTAATATAGGTTATAGTAACTGCAAATCATTTCAAAACCCACACAGGGTACCATATTCTATTTTTACAATACTTTAGACAGCAGGATAGTGTGGTTTAACATTTACAGATCATTCAAACCTATCGTACCCGCCTTGCTTAACTTAGCAAATTAGTTACAACAGTTTATTACAGTAGTATCTAAGTATTGAGAAGAAATTATTAATTGTAAGTGGTGACAGTGATCCAATACCTTTGCCTGGCTGTGGAAAGTAAACTTACTCAATCTCAGTCATGTCATATCTAAGGTACCAAGATAGCTGTATCGGTTAAGTACGTGTCTGCTGCTAACAGTCACTCCTGGTAAAGCAAATGGTAGCAGATGTAAATATATACACAAACACTAGTAAAACATGGCATGCATCTTAAGAAGAGATTAAATTGTGTTACAGATTCTTGTCATGTTACTCTTTAATATACCACTACAAGGTACTCTTCTGTTAGGATTACTTTAGTTGAGTGGCCTAGGAAAAACTACTGTTATTTCATTTTAAGAGTTTTAGATTAATGTAAATCACAGTAAGTTTGTAAAGAAATGAATTAATCTCTCTCCACAGCTGTCACTTATATGTAAGTGTTTATACTCTACATACTCACTCTCCATATGCTGGCCTGGCCAGCTCAGGGAAACCTTCACTCTCTTTAAAGAACTGGGAGAGAAGCATTACACCACCAGTTGACAGCTGTTTATCTGAAACAAAGGCCACCCTCCAGTCATCTCTGTGTTGATAATTTTGTCTCCTTTGTGACAGCTGTGGTCTGTCACACCATTGAGCTTCGCAAGCACATCACCCTTGTCCCTCTCCTCTCAGCCTTATTTTGTTTTAGGGGCTTACTGGTAAGTTGTGTGAAACCAAACTCAAAACCACAAATGCAAGAAAAAGCAAACATATCTTTCTCAACAAACTCTTAGTGACTTAGGCTTAAAGTGTGCAGTTTCTCTTCAATGCCAGCCTTGAATACTTCTAAATGGCATATCCACTCTGCTACAGTAGAATTTTACCTACTCCTGCATAGGCTGTGTAGAAACTATAATGCAAAGAAGGCTAAATAGGCAAAATTTTTCAGAAAAACTGAACAGATTATTCTTTCAGTGAACTAACTTGTCAGTGAATTTGACCTGGGCCACTGTTCAGTTTTCTCTTTTTCAGTCCTCTGCCCTCCCTTGCCCAGAGCCAGTACTCCTTAAATTGCTGAAGATGTGATAGGGCTTAACTGTGTTTTTCTCTGGACATCACATGCATAAACTGATGTTTTCCCAGACAAAACCCATCATTCACTCTTCAGCTGCCAACTCTTGTCAGAAGGTGGTTTAAACGTTCATGTAAGTTAAAAAAGATGAACACAGATTTTTCCAGCCATAAAAATGTATCTCTGGAGCAAGTGAAAGTTTACTTGCTTGTGAAACTGTTTCTGCCTGGGCAGGTGTAAATTCTGAATTTTCTAATGTAGGTAAGGTAAGGGTGATTAGAAGTATTTGAGTTGGTCAATATTTTCTGCTGTTGGGTTGGTTTTTTTTTTTTTTTTTTTTTTTTTTTTTTTTTTTTTTTTTTTTCAACTTTTATGCAAGAAATGGTGTTCCTGAAAATTTAGTTTTTACTTCTGAGAAACATTCACTTTCATGGTAAGTATCAAAGGATATAGTATTTAATATGATACCTGTTTCCAAAAATGACGACTCTGTGATTATAGAGGAAGGAAACTAACTAGAACTCCATGTTCTGTCTTTTCTGTGTTTTTTTACTGGGTAGCAGTATCCCAACAATTGAAATATAATTTCTACTGCTTTCCAAGTGAGTCCCCTGAAATGTAGAGCCAGAAGTTCTCTATTTTTGAAATTAATAAATGGTATGTTTTAAGGATCTGTGCTTTATTTAAAGGTTTTCACGCAGCTGAGATTCTTGCATTATTTTTCAGAGCACATATGAGTCAGTGAGTTACAGATATGATGGTTTTCTGCTGAAGTTTTTTTAGAATGCTGGAAATAAGAGTGAGAAAACAAACTTCTGAATATTATTTTTAATTTTAAACAATCCATGTTTACAATTCTCACTATTCAATATTTTGTATAAAAACAAATACCATATGTAGTATTTTCAAATGAGACACAAATGCATCTTTAACTACTTAATATTAAAAGATAATATGAAGCTTTATCTTAAAAATACCTTCAGCAAAATAAACTCCCATTCTGTCAATCCAAGTTAAAAAAATATGATTAGAAATATACAATTTAAAAATAATCAGGATGAACAGTACTGATTAATCAAGAAATTTTAGATCTTGATAGTCTGTACATGAGTTTATGCAAGACAAACAGTCTGCAACCCATTAATATAAAAACTGCAGTGCAACAAACTGGTGAACAACACATTCTTTTTTTTTTTCCATTTTAATGCATGAGTCTCTACAAATCTTATTTTTTTGTTTTACATCAGTAACACTTCCTCTGTCATACTGGGGCAAAACACAAGGTCTGGGTTAACATCTGAGTTAAGTTATTGATGCTGTAATGGAAGCTAGCAATTTGACCCAAGATACTGCAGCTTTTGAATATGCTGTGTACTTTTGAGTAAGAGATCAAGAGAGACTCAATATGTCATGTATTTGAAAGAGGGGAAGGAATTTCTAAGGGAAAACTCCTAATGGATGACAGCAGAAATAACTTCCTTCAGCTGTTCTGTGGTACAATGCTGATGCAGCTGCTGCCACACATTCCATTTTGGCACATAATAATTCACAGTTCAAAAAAGATTTAGAAACTAAGGACTCTCTCATCCATGACCACTCTCCATTCTTGTACTTAAGACAGCTTTGGTATGATATAATAAAAATGGTAGACAAAGTACTAAAAATTCAGAAGAAAAAAACCTAAGCAATATGATTGGATGGAATACAATGAGGTAATGAGTTAATTTTCTATATAAGGCTGTTTGGAGAGTTAAAATGTAAAATCCCCTTGACATTTATGTGTTTCTCACTAAGATAGTGGGTGGTCAAAGGGGTATCCTGAAACACATTCATGCCAAACATGCAGTTTTGGTTTAGCTAGAATTGCTATTGTGTGTGTTTGTGCATTTGTTTTAAGCAAATTTACTTCTGATGAACCTGAAAGTTCTAATAGCTCTGCTGGTTACTTTAAAAAGGCAAATTCCAATTTGGAATGTGAAATGGACTGATTATTTTTAGGTTAAAAATAAAGATGCTAAAAGAGGAAGCTCAGCTGAGAGAAGGGCAAAGCCAAACAGAATAAATATTATAGTTTTTCTTGGTTAGACTCTCACCCTCTCACCTCACTAGTTTCATTCCTCCTGCCTTCCAAGATAAGAATTTTCTTCAGAAATAAACACAGATTCATATTTGCACATGATACCTATTATTGTGGTTATCCATACTTCAGCTTTTGGGCAAGTGGCTTAAAAAAAAAAAGACAAGACTTTCAGGGTTAATTCAGTCCCTCTTTTAGGTGCTTTTTACCTGGAACAAATCGGGGGGAGTGTGAAGATTAAGAGGAAAATAAAAAATATTTCAGGTCTGAGCCTCTTCTGTATTCTTTGTGTTCACACTTGCAAATTTTGACTGTTCAAACTCACGGCTGCTACCTGTAAGCTTACTTACACTTCACATTCTGCTTCCCCTCCAACTCATGATGTTTTTTCCACAAAATATTTACAAGCCAATGTGTGATTATTCATACTGGCATTTAAAAATCCCCAGCCTAATAGAAAGCTTAATTTTCAAGGATCTAGACTGAAACTAGTCACTGAACCTGCCCACTGACATTCGTAAAAAGAAAATTCTCCCTGTTGCAGATGTAATCTGTATCTTTAAAAACTTCAGTTATTTCATTGCTAACACTTCAGATATCTCAATTTCTTCTACTTTCTACTGCAAGAGTCACTAAACCAACAGATAACTGTATCATAGTTAAGGCTATGTGGTAACAGTCCTCATCTGAAGGATATACAGCTATAAACTTCAGCTGGCAGACAAGGAATGATTACTCCAAAGCCAGCTTTGAGATTTCATAATGTGAAAAGTGGTAGGGAAAAAGCACTCCCAGTGTTTGAAGACAGTCTTGTAGTGGATAAAAATTTCAGTCTCAGACAGATTTGTTTAAAAATTACACTGCTTCTTAATATAGGTAAGCTGTAGTTTGTAAAGTGTTAATTGGATGTTAAAAACTATTCCTGCCCCCGAGCTCCCCTACCATTCTCAGTTGTACAGAAAGCTTATTTTCCCTTTTAAGTGTGTGACACATGCTAAGTGTCTCAAAGCTAAAAACCAGTGACAACCACATGTTATCAAGTGTTCTAATAAAACCCAGGAACAATTCTTACCTTTTAGATGTGCTAATCTGAAGTCTCACCTAAAAGACTTAAAGATAGCAAAAGAAACAGTAATGACACTTCAATATGACAGCACTGCTTTAAATGGTAAGCTGTTTTTCCTCCCCCTTAAAATCATACCAGATTTAAAGCAATTACAACTAGTTAACAGAGCCATTGGTTGTGAACAAATAAAAATCTATTTCTATTAAAAACGAGTTAATTGCTTATAGTTATTTTTTCAAAATAAACAAACCACACAACCTTTGAAAATAAAGCACTCTTTGGTGGATGTTACTTTGTGTACTCAATACTGCAGCTTCATTAAAAAATTCATACAAAATAAGAAAGAATAGCCAATTAACACAGGAGAGTACCAATACTATAATAAAAAAGCTTTTGTGGTTGATTTTCAGTCTTAAGTGGAGACTTGAGCCAAGTCTGAATGGACAACACAGATTTATATATTTAAAAGCTCCCACCATCTTTTCATTTCTGGTGGTCAGCAGCTAAGTGATTGCCATCACAGTTTATACACATGCATCATACATACTAGCAAGCCCTCTTTATAATAGAGAGCTTAAATATTTACACCTGAGTCTGAATGTACACAGATTTTGTTGGTTTTGTTTGAGGAAGTGTTAGCACATAAAGAAAGTGTCTACCAAAAATGTCAGTCCATTTTATTCTACAAGTACGGAAGAAATTCTTCTGGTTCACTTTTGCTGAAAAATGGAGCCACAGTAATCTTCCTTGAATTGCATCAAGTCCCCTCTAGTCACATCCCCTTCACTGCTGAATAGCCTCTTCAACACTGGTTGCTTACTTGAAATTCAATGCAATACTGTTCTAGTCCTTAGGATGGATTGCCTGCTGAAATAAAACATATTTGAGGAAAAAAAGTTAAATATGTACTCAGTATGTATTTGAAGCAAACATTTCTGGCAAGATTAAGTGAGCAAATGATACTTCAAAGAAAGAAGATAAAAGTCACTGCATTTAAGAACACAGCAATATTGGTTGTAAAGAAAGCATGAACTGGTCTGATCATAGACATTACAAAGAAAGGTTCTGTTCCATACACAAATGCAACACAGGATTCAAAGTACCATAATTTCATTAAGCATATTGGCTGCAAAGCATTTCCCTTCCCCTTCCCCTTCCCCTTCCCTCTTCTTCCTTTCTTTCTTTCTTTCTTGATTTAGATTACGTATAGATAAGCTCTGAAATGCTGCAGGTAGTTTTCAGTGTTTGAACAAGGGTGCAGAAGGCTGCTTTACAATTCCCAGCAAAGCAAAAGCACACAAGATTAATTTAAAGTGCAGTCCTCTGTTAGTTTTTGTGTTAACCTCTCTGGTTAAAAGAAATAAAGGAATCCATACATACAGTTTTCATACATTTCCCCCCATACTCACAAATATTTTTTTGTAATAACTTGACCTGCATTTCCTTAAGCACCTCTACCTACTAAAATTCCTTCACCACTCAAGATTTCATTTCTAATCAACTAGTTACTATATACACAATCCTAATTGTGATGTGTGGTAACACAGAAAAGACTGTTTCCTTTGTCTTTTAATGTGATTCAATTCATTTGGATGTGATGCACATACCTTGTTAAAATATAAATACAAACTTCTTAGTAACTGGCAAATTTACAAAAAAGATGTCTTAACTGGAGAAACAAAGGCATGAACAGAAAAAGACTGGATAATTCTCTAGTAATGAAATTTCTTTCAGTTCAATAGTAGTGTTATTTCAATCACAAGATATAAAAGTGTTTTGTCTACCTGTACTGATCTTCGGTAGATGGCAGCTGACATCTAGAAATGTTCAACAAAGGAAATGCAGTGGATGTTATGAATAGGATTGAAATTCCCTTAATTCTCTTTACAAAGTCAGAACAGAGTGTTTTAGCTGTAAATCGCTGCTTTGGCTGAAAAAAAACATTCTGGAGGCATTCTATCACAGCATCTCCAACAGCTTGAAGGATGAAATGGCAAATGAATTACCCAGCTCTCCATTAGGATGGGTCACAAATGTGATTCATTTACAGTGAAAATTTACTAAAATGACCTAAAGCATCAACAAATAAGATTAATGTAAAAATACTGCAAGATGTTTCCACTGGAACATATCAGGCAAGAAAATTACAAAATAACTGTACACAGTAATGTTGGAAGTTCAGAAAAGGCAACCAGTTCTTGACAAAGAGAGATGTTGCCTAGTGCATGATCTCAATTTTGTAATAATAATTAATGTCCTCTACCCTGCAATCCACTTGATCTGGAATAGGCCAATCAATCTGAGCACTATGAGGTAACGCAAACTGCATAGACTTCAAGAAATTAAAATAAACTTAGATGAAAAAAACAAAGGGATGCTTAAAAAAAAAAAAAAAAAAAAAAAAAATGCTACAGGAAAAGTAAAAGGACACTTACAAGATTAGCAACAAGGTACTGCATTCTAAGTCCATGAAATTGTACAGTCATACTGAAATACCCTTTAGAGGAATCAGCACCCAATTAGCCCTCTCAGATGACAAGATAATTAAGAACTCAACTGTGACATAACTGTTTAGGACAAATTTGAATATTGGATCCAAGCATAAAGTGACTGATTTTTTTTTACCTCAAAAGTTAGAAGAAACAGCATATGGAAGTTTTAGAAAATCTATTAAAATATGAAGCAATTTATGAAGTCTGAGATCAGTCTGATCCTTGGCACTCAGAGTCATCAATCTGGCATCACGTCTAAAGGATTTTTTTTTCAAAATATCTTCTATGACCTCTTTTAGGGACATGTTTCCTCCTAAGGATAGGTAGTCTCATCTCACACAACATAAAGGTCAATTCTGAGGCTTCGAGGAACTGAAAATCTCTGTTCAATTGCACGTACATATACACAGCTACCAAGCACTGCAAGGAGCTTAAAACTGGGAAAGACATGTAGAATAAAAACAGCAGGCAAAATTCCATCAATTCTGTTTGAACCAAAACTGACATGGTGAAAACAATGCAAAGTGGAGGAAAAATCTAGCCAACCAAACAGGAAAACCCTGAGAAATACTCGAGATCTTTACTAAAACATGCATTTCAGGAAAAAGATATTTTTTTAAAGAGATTGTTATACCCATCAAAATGTAATTCATATAGCCGCTGCTAAAAATTATTTGACCATAATTCACTGCAGTGTACTCTAAATTACTATTTCCTTTGCCTAATAAAGTGAATATTTCATAACATCTGTAACAAGGAAGGGGAAAGAAAAGCTCTGTGGGGAAAAAGTTGCAAAACAACTTGGAATCTTCAGCAATATTTGTAAACCAAGATACACAACTACCTTCTATGTCATTTGCCGCCTTTACTCTTCCCAACAAAATTAGGTCTTTTAATCACCTGACAGATCCATTCAAAAGTTTTTCACTATAAGCACAAGACAAATTCTGGTCAATTGTAACCAATGGAAACTGCTTGGAAATTGTTTTAAGCTACACTCTCAGGCTCATCTTTGATAATGACCTGGAGAGCTGCCACAGAGGGGCATGAACACATGCACACACAAAGACACAGTAGTAGCATGGCCATATGATTCTGGGCCAAAAGGCACTTTCAGTCTTGCGTAAATCCATCTGAATTTTAAATTTCACTGAGCTTTACCAAACAGGTTAAGTTCAGTATCAGCCATACTCTTGATACAAAATCTCATACCAGTATACACATGCATTTTATACACTTCCACCTCTCCACTACTACTGCATTTCAGTTGTCCATCAATTTCCTCTAAGTTTTGACTTCATGTACTGGCTAATAATTGACTTAATGCTGTGAACAATTTTTCTACTTCTTACTTCAGGCAGAGGTTTGGGAAAGAAGGGTTTTTTTTTGTTACCAAAATCACTCATCTTCAGTAATTTTGGCTCACATTAGGAATTACAATAATAAAATTCTCAAAGTTGAAAGACTGAGCAACATAAATAAGATCTAAGGTTCCTGATATTCTCAGTACAGGACATAAACCATAAAATTGTTTCTCATTTCACATCACTAGGAGAAGAAATTGAACTGTGGCAAAAGCTCCTGTCAGCAATGGATATGCCAGCTCAAAGTATTTACCCAGAAAACAGTTACTGGATCTGTAAAGAGGGTAACTCTCACCTTTTTAAACTGTTTTTTCTTGCAGCAGACCTGGTAGTTCTTTTAGTAATGTCTGTACTGTCAGAAATGCTAGGTTCAGAGGTTTTATTTTTCTGAACACGGGACTGCAGAATTACTCTGGAAAGAGTAGGAAAAAAGAAAGATTACATAACCTGAAAGTTTCTAGGAAAACACTGGAAAGATGCTATTACAGTTGCAATTAGAGCTAATAAGTATCAGCTGGCTTTTCACAAAACATTCTGAAAAGCAAACTGCTCTGCCTGAAACACATCCTTCTCTTTACAGCATCCTTGTTATGATTATGGTAATGCAAGCTGTTTTATTAGGAGCACAGCAGTTTGCTTTCTTGGTTTCTTGGGGGGGTTGTTTTTTTTTTTTTATTTTCAAAGAACAGATTAAATCAATGGTTTTGAATTTCCTGTTACATTTTTGTAAGACAAAAGGCTAAGAAATCATATTTTAAATTATTGCAACAAACCAAAAAAAGATAAAATCTGAAGTTTGCAACAAAACCAAACATTGTTTTCCAGACTGATACAGAAAAGAAATCAGAAAACCCAAGTAATGCAATCTGTGAAGGCCTATGTCTAAATATCCTATAATTAACAATGAGAAACTCCCTTCAAATAAGGTAGGCTAAGAAAATCATTGCATATGCTGGCATTCTGCTCTTACAGGGAATTACTACACCATACTCAAAACTCAGCTTTACATGAATTCCAGATTGTGAAATGCAAACAACTATTTTTAGCCACCAGCCAACTGGTTTGTAGGGAAACCATGTCTTTGGTATTCCTAAACACTTGTAGTGAAGTTATGATATTATGAAGACAAAAAGTGAAAACTGGTCAATGGAGTCCACAGATAACTATTTAGTGCATAATTTTGTATGTCTATTCCCTAGTCATTCTATCTGTGCAAGGTTCCAGCTATAAAACTATGCATAATTTTAGAGATTCAGAGCTAAGAGTAACTTAGTTTTTTGGGTTTTTTCCCCCATTGTTATTTGACTCTAATTTTCTGTGGCTTTACTGAGTCCATCTGTGTCAGCAGATTATATTAGGTTGGAAATCAGAACTTTCATTAAGTTGTATAAACTGTAGTCTGGTTGTTTAATGCCCTGAAAAAACTGTTTTCAAGGAATTGTAGACAGGAACATAAAATGTAACTTTTGGAGCAAAAGTAGACAGGCATACATGGCAAAAAAAACATGAATATTTTCATATTCATGTAACATATTCACCAAAAACAGAAATGGAAAAAACTCCTATGCTTTCAAAGTTTTATTTGGGCTTGATACCAGAATTAGAATATGCATCAGTGATGACACAATTTCATCTGAGATAAATTCTTTACAGCAGTAAAAATGTTCATCAACCTTATGTACCACATACTTCTACATTGTTTAGCAAACAGATGACTATAGAACCACAAAGTTCAAGTATTTCTGCTTGAACAAGTCTCTCTTTATTTCAGACTTGCAAAATCTTGTAACTTAATTTGCAGAAGTCCAAATCAAACAGTCTTCTCTTCCTCTAAGATAAAAGATTGTAATGGAAGGTACTATAAAAATGGAAAGCAATTTCTACTGTAAACACCACACATCCAAAGTCAGAGGAACTGGTTATTCAAAAGGCTGAAAACAAGAAACAGATACCTTCAATATCATATAATGCTACTGTAAACAACATAAATTAATCTAACAAGAATCTGTTTTCCTTGGATGCCCAAGGTAAAAAGGCTCAAAACCTAGACATTCACTTTATAATTTCTACCGTGCTTGTAAACCAGTTCTAACAAGTTCTAATATTAAAACTTAAAATTCTCTTTTCAGTGCCACAGTTGTCATACAGCATGAACAAATCTGGGCTACTGCACTTTCAACTAAGCTTTAAAAATGACACCAGTGGTGAAAAAAGACTTGCACTGTACGTTTTATCTGTGTCACTAGTAACTTCCAGGACCAAATGGAAAGGCACAAAGCTGGCTTAACCCTGTAACATTTAGTCACTGAAATATAAGCATGACCAAATCATAGCACATGCTGGTTTATTACACCTCATGCAGACAGAAATATGGAAAAATAATGTTTTCTCCTTAAATATATATATTCAATGTCTCTCTGTATAAAATAAATCTAATGTATTGAAGTGCTAAGGCTTGGACAACTGGCCCAAGCCAGAGTTGACCTATAGATGAATCCTGTATATTTTATAACTGAAACCACTGTGCTAGTAGGTATTGTACTAAGTTATAACAATGCACTTATGCTGATGCAAAAAGTGCTAAAGCTTTGAAGTACTGAAGCCTGAACAACAGGCCCCAAGCCGAAGCTGCTAACTTAGTCTGTAATCATTAACAAAGTCTGTAAGCTCCTTAGTGAGAGATGCAGCTTGGACAAAATATAATCAGTAGTGAGGAGAGAATGTATCCAACTTCTCCCCTTTAGCCTTGTTCAAGGCTGAGAACCCAAGTACCTGGCCTTGTTAGAAACTCCCTTGGTCTCCCTCCCCTGAGCCCTGGCCAGGCTTTGGGTGGAATCCAACAGGAGAATGAAACCAGAAATATTCCGCTCTGAACAAAGGTGACAGCTATTCTGGCTTGTCGATCTCTGGGAGATAAGGCTGGGCCCATCTGCAGCGACTTTGGAAGTCTCACCTATGAGTGGACGCACCCCGTAGGATTTCCCCCTTGCCGGGACAGGCTCTGCAAACCCTCGCTGTAACCGGGGCTGCCCAGCCACTGCGGGCATGATGATAATATATGCAAGTGGTGATGTATTTTTCTTTATCTCCATTCTCTCTCTTGTGTAGTAATGACTGAATGTTTTTTCCTGTTTGCTGCTTTAAGTGCACTATTCTGCTTTTTCTTACTGTATGTTTTCTGTATTACACTGTTACACTGGCTATCACTAATAAAATACGCCTACTCCTTTCACTCTGGTGTCTGGGTTTAATTGGTATTCTTAATCAGCAGAATATAAATTGGTGTCAGCAGTGGGATTCAGCAAAAAATGCCATGATTTAAGTTCAAAGGTAATTTGTCAAGTCCACCAGATACTCCTGGTTGGAAAAAATCCTCCCTGTATTTCACAGGCCCAGGAGTAGGCTCAGGTGAGAGAATTGTGCAAACAATGGGAGAGATGGCTGAAAGAAGCCAAACCATTAGATGTTCCAAATTATATGAACAGGATACCTATCGGAAAAGGAAAAGAGACTACAAATTCAAGTAAACAAGGATGGATTTTGTTAACTGCATATAGAAAACAACACCAGAGTAAAGAGAGGCTGTTGTTAGAGCTCTCCCAGATGGAGTGACAGATGAGTGATTTACAGAGTCAAATAATGATGTTGTAATGCTGGAATAAGTTGCTTGCTGATAAGCTAGATACTTGTCAGAGAGTGGCAGAGAAAGCCGCAGTGCGTGTAGCATAATGTAAGTATAGTAAAAGAAGAGGGCTGGATTTGTTGTGTACTTTGACCATTGGCACCAATATTGATTCTGAGACCTGGAGCTTGTATATTGTATGTATGGTGTTAAATTTGGATTTGTCATTTGTCATAATTGTCCTAGTGGTACTTGTGGTTATAAGTGTAATTCTGGGTTGTTTGTGTGAATGGTGTAAGTGAGCTCCCTGTGTGGTAATATAAGATCGATCTGTTTAAAGAAATCCCCTTTGTGATGCGATAGAAAAATAAAGTAGCTGGGTGACCTTGGAGAGTAGGACCCCTGAAGGAGTGCAGGGAACAGAGATGCTCGAGACAGCCCTAAAGACAATGAAAATAGGATTTCTCACAAGGAAAAGTTTATGGCTTTGCTAAAAGACAGCATGTCTTGTGAAAAGAAAAATAAATAAAAAAATCCAGTGTTCCAACTAACGAGCTGTGGTGAATATATACACAGAGAGGGCTGAATAAACCTAGCAAGAGAGTGCAGAGTTCTAAAACTAGGAATTCAGGGACAACTCAGCCTACAGCACCCCTTCTTGAATCTCTAACGGGACCCTGCATCTGCCCACGGAGGGTGCCCCCCAGCTCCCTGCACCCCCCTAAGTGGATCAGCACTTGCGGGGTTGAAAGACAATCAGGCACCATTTTCTGACTCACACCCTTGGCATGAGGCAAGGGAAGTGAATCAGTATTATGATCAGTACAAATGAATTAATGGCCAAGCTCCAGGGCAGTGGGTGCAGAAGGACCGAAGACTCCATGTGGAGCTTAAGTTTTTTGCGTTTTTTAGAACAAGCAGTCCCTGCAAACTGTAAATGCCCTGATTGACACTGGAGCAGTGGCCTTCTTAATATATTGGAATCCCAAGAAATTTAAAGGACAACTTGTAATTATTATAGGTTTAGGAGGAAAACAAATTAAAGCTGTACAACACAAATAGAAATGAAAATAAGAAACCTCCCAAAATATATTCAGTCATGATTGTTCCCATTCCTGGATATATAAAAGGTATAGAGATTCTGAAAAGACTAACTTTAAATCTTTCTGATGGTCATTATCAATCTGGAGTTAAACCCTGTATTAGGGCCAGACCTGTTATAGCCAGCAAAGTAAAAATGCCTCCTGTGCAGATCCTGGCTGCAACTAAGCCACAATGAAGCAGTATAGAATTCTGGAAGGACATGAAGAGATATCACAGACAATTAAGAGATTTATTAGACGTAGGAGCTTTGAAGCCGACCACTACACCGTGGAACAATCCGATATGGCCTGTCAAGCAACATGATGGATCGCGAAGAATGATGGTTGATTTTAGAGAACTAAACAAACATACTCCACCGCTTGCAGCAGCTGTACCAGACATTGTCACTTTAATAGAAAAAGTTCAGAAACATCCAGAAACTGGGTACACTGTAACAGATTTGGCTAATGCATTTTTTACCATCCCGATCGCAGAAGAACATTGGGATCAATTTGCCTTCACATGGCAGGGCCAGCAATACACCTTTACTAGATTACCACAGAGGTGTTTGCATAGCCCCACTATCTGTCATAGAATTAGAGCTGAATATTTAGATAAAATACAGCTGCCTCCTCACACACAATTAAGTCACTATATAGATGATGTTTTGATCCAAGGAAATGATGAGGAGGAGGTACAACAAGTCC